ACCCGTGGACCGCCTTAGCTGTTCCTCAGAAACACTTATACAGGTAAGTCTCTCTGGGAACGATCCCCTCTATCATCCTGACCTACTCCATCTTCTGGAATTGATCAGGAAGACTCAGTCATTCCATCAGGTTTTCAATATAGCCTCCTTCTCATTCCTCCCACTCTCCATCTGGGAACGGGTTATGGGTTACACTGTGCCGTTTCATCTGTGTTTTGATCCTTCCGCTATTAATGTGAGTTAAACCTCGCGAAATCCCCTCATTACGAATGTCTGAATGATCCGGCTGGACCTCGGGGAATGGGTATGGGTGGGTATGGGTTATGGGTGGGACCATGCGGACTTTTTTCCTTAGCTAAGGTCCAATTATGTACGTGACATTCTGCATGTTACATGTTGCACGTTCAGACCAACAAAACAAGAATGTCTCGAGAAATTGCCCACTAGCTTTCCCACTTACCAACCATTCCTGTGGGTACGACCATGGATTCAGGGCTTTTTGGGATAAGAGCGTGAGGGTCGTTTTTCCACCTCTGCGGGATTTGATCTATGGACCATGGTTTTCAAGTGTGGAAACATCTGTGAATGCCCACATTCCCTCGGGATCTCATCACAAGCAAGTTTTCTCTCTTTCAAGCCGATTCCAACATGAAACGGTGAGCAGGGAGGCCTCCCAGCTGGTCGAACTGGCTTTTCAACTTCGACTTTAACTATTTTGAAGCTCTTTGTCGGAAACTCTCCCAAAGATTTCCCATGGAGCATCAGCAGATGCCCGTTGACGTCCCGTCTAGCAAAAATAAGTGACGTGGGGATTTCACCTAGTTACTTTACAGCCGCCTAGTCTGTTTTGATGTCGTCAACGTGTCGTCGTCAGAAATGTGTATCCACCGGAAATATCATCGAATTGTGTTAGCCTGAACGACGTCATCACCCCAGTAGTTATTGTTCCAGTGAACAAAAGATACAATTTTCGTTTGTTTGGAGGCTAATGGACAGCCTGGACGAGCAGACTGACAGCTTTGGGGCTCATCAGTTCCGAAAAACATTCCGTCTATCAAAGTACGAACAAACGAGGCTTCGCCGATTGACCCAGAACTTCTAAAAATAGAGCTCTAAGCACCTCAAAACTTCCCATGTAGGAGCTTTTCCCCTTCTGTTTGAGGGAGTTATCAACGATTGCCCACGCTTTACCCTTGATGTGACATAACCCATAGGTTCCATACCTTACCAGGCAGCCTCTTTACCTTCCGGGGACCCGGAAGGAGCTTCCGTGAATTGGAAATCGCTTGAAAAGTCGGTATGCCGGCAGACAGCGACTTTTCAAGCAACTTTATCGACTTCGCCGAGTTTTTTTAATCCGCCATGCCAGAAAACAACCTATTAGGGTTGTTATTTTGTTAGAGTACAAGGACCGAAGGCTAAGCCTACGACGTGGGGACCCATGGGGCTGCTCTTCGCTTACTAACTAGTAGCTATGACAATTAAAATCATTATATTGCGGGTGATCAAATATCACACGACTCGGATAGATGAGATTCACGTGGGCGGCGTCGAATGGCGCCCACGGGGAACAGCGACTGCGATATAATAATTGGGTTATTGTTGAGACTAAAGTGCCAGATTTCTATGTCCCAAAATAAATGAGAAAAAGTTCAAATTGCTATCGACACAAGAGATACAGTAATCGCACGGGTACGGTATCTTATATGGTTTTGTTTCAGATCGCAAGCAAGTCAAGCAGTGATGGTGAAGATCCGTTGGCACATGGTCTCGACCCGGCTCTTTACGGTCCCAATGCACCCGTCACCTGTGCTTCCCCTTGTACCAGTGATCCTGGAGCTGTCCCGTCATCATCATCATTCAGGTGAGCTCCCACGTCCTGTGCAAGCTCTCGAGCTATCTCTACTTCGTATAAATGCCATTCTTAAGCTCTTAAGCCAAAAACAGTGCAAAGGGATCTCCCGGTCTGAGGATTCCGGGCTCTGTCGTCATTCATCCGATTGAATAGCCTGAAAGCAGCAGGAGTTGCTTCCCAATCATGACCACCCACGACATCTTTGGCATTGAACGGGCTGTAATTGGGCATCTATATTTGTTTGTGGGAACCGGACGTCCCAGTTTAGTCTCTGGACGGCTGGATGGCTGCATTAGCAGGGTGGGCAGGACGATGAACTCATCCCGAGTGATCGTTCTTCGTAGTAAACCTAAGGGCCTTCGGAGAACTCCCAGAATTCGTAGCCAACCCTAACACGCGATCTAGGAAAATTAATTCCCAGAAAAAACTCCGATAAATTGAGAGGGGTACTTTTTTGAAATTTATACTCACCTATGCAAATATTCACGGAACCTGGGAATCGAAAACCATAGAGCGTAGGAGGAAGTATAAACGAATTCCAGCTGAAAGATCGCTTTTGAGTGGGAGACTATTTTTTCATTTAACAAGATCTAAGGCAATTTTATGATTTCATTTATGGGTGGCATCTAAAACCTCCTTAGGGACATCCGAACGCTTCCCTCACTTTCCTTTATTCCCTTATATAGCCCATGATTCTATTTAAAAAAGGTCTTATGTACTATGTGTGTGTGTGTGTTGGGGCTTCCCAAGGGCTAACACGTGCACTTCAGCCTATGTGAGTGGCACAGCTGTGGGACGCTATAGCTGGAACGAGAATTTTTTCTTCACCAGGGCATCTCCTTGGGATATTCCCAGAGACATTTCCAGACGCTTCCAGAAGCTCATTTGCTCATTCCATATCAAAATATCGGCTTTAATTTCCAAACGAGAGAACCTCATTTACGATTCATCTCCACCAAGTGCCGCCCAAAAAAAAACTGGACGTCATGAAAAATTCATGACTCTAATTTCACCAGTTGAAAAGCCATACAAAAAACTCGATCGATCGATATATCGATCGGTTTCATGATTGATACCGTCTCCCTAGATTCACTACGGAAAGCGTGAAGGACAGGACCCCTCAAAAACGAAATTGAAAAGGATTTACTTTCTGAAAAATCAATTTTTTTTTACTGCATGGGAGCTTGAATTACCTAGTAAAAGGGCACTGAAGCCATTTTTTACCACCGATATTTAATTACCATGTGAAAAAGTTTTCAAAGCACTTCAACTGGAAGAAATTGAAAATATGGAAAAAAATAGAAAAAAATAATAAAAATTGGCCCAGATCCTTGGAAACACGTGATTCAGCTTTTAAAGAACAAAACAAAAAACAAAACTGTTTTTGTAGCCATAGAGACGGCAAATTTGTAACTACAATAAATTGTGGGCTTAAAAATTGTATCTGCTAGTCACCACTACGTAAGAATCTTTGAGAAAATTCCAGAATTTTCAAAAAAAAAAATTATTAAGGGGAGGGGGGAGGGGAGGGAGCAGAAGTTGGCAGTTGCAGCGAAGGGTGACGACTCAGAAACTTCCAGACGAAATTTTAAGGAATAATTCCGCGAAAAACCCCAAAAATTTATTTTTCATTCGCTTTTTTTCAGCGGCTCAGAACCTCGACCAACTGGGTTAGGCTTGCTACATTGTTTACTACAACATTTCCCCGTTAGAAAACGACTTCGTGTATCAATCCTGAAAATCGAAGGTAAGCCACCGAACCTATTTTTTTAATTTTTATTTTATATTTTCGATTTTTTCGATGAATTGGTGGTCCCCGTTCTGTCTTCTTCACTTTCCTCCGCTGTTTTATTTACAAGTTCTTCAGTCAGTAGGTGTAAACTTTGGCCGAAGCCAAGAGAAAGGCAAGCTTCTACGTGGCTCACGTCAAGGTGCATACTTAAATAGTCATTGAGGACGATAATTATGTCTAAGTGTGGGCGTCCATGATGAATCATTGCCGATTGAATGGGTAATGAGAACCCGATTAGGATCCAAGTGAGGTTAAAGCTCACATATTATACGATCTACGAAGGAATCAAGAAAAACCAAGGAAGGGAAGTTCTGAGGTCCATACAGAGGGTAAGGTACTCTGAGAATAATGGCGTTTTTGAAACATTATGAATGCGCCATGCGTTTGGCAATTCATAGACATCCTAGCCCGTGTACATAATACTGGGTGCACCCCAAGCATGTCGCAGGTACTGACTCACACGAAACGGTTGGTGTTAGGTTCAGTGCCCTCGCTCTTCCATGATCGACTGTCATCATAAAGTTGAACATCATAAATTTGAAGGGGTAGAGCTGTTGGCTTAAGCGGTACAGCGTTCTCAAAGGCCAGACAGTGCGTGGTAGTCACCCACTGCCCTGTCTGTTGCTTATGAAAGGTCTTTCAGGGTTAGATATAGCCCTAGCCAAGTGTGGCGGTAATCTGGTCCTTGACAGAGCGAATAACCTTATGGCAATCAAATAGGCAAAGCTGTCTACTAGGGGCCAACGGCCAGGTGGACAGGGCTATCCGATTAGGGCCAACGATCCGGTAAGCACGAGTACTTTCGATAATAGTGCCGTGAGTAAAATACGGTATCTATACCCGCTCTATGTTGGAGGAAATAGGTTCCTCTATTGAATTTTAACAGCTCTACAATGTTGTGAGCCTATAGTTTACGAAATGATAATTGTTTTCATGAATTTATGCAACACAAGCCTTTCCTGTTGATTCCTGCCTCCCCAAATTGTTCGTCTAGACAGCCAAAGCTAACCTTCCAGACCCTCATAATCCCTTTTGTCTATAAGGCTTATCGTATTACTTTACTGTATCGCTAATCGCAACACATGATCCGTCCAGGACCTCCTACCAACAACAACAAACTTAGCTCTTTGATGTAGCAAGGCTGCTTGGCACTAATCTCCAGTTAGAAGGCTTCGAAGAGGGACAGAGTAAAGTATTTATTATGACGGGAGGAAATCCTTGAAGAAGCCCTGAGATGAGCTGAACAACAGAACGTTCAGGTCATACCCGATCTTGACCATATTTGGAAGGCATAGGGAGTTCCTTAGCTGGAAAGCCTCTGAGGCAGAACTATCTATCCATCTGTTTAGCAAACACCGAACTGGCAACCGATCATTGTCTCAAACTTCCTCTTGTCTATTCGGATTTGGTTCCACCTCTTCTCATTAGTGTTGTTCCTCCCCATAGATAGGAACCGATGGGGTTGTGACGATCAACTTCACCTGCTTTCAGTAGTAAATAGCCAAGCTCAATCCGCTCTTTTGGACCCCAATCCAGGAGCACAGTAGGAAGCCACCCATTTGGTCTACCTCAGGACCAATTCCCATTCCTACCTACAGCTCTAGTCCAGAACTGTATTGAAAATTCATCTGTACGGGCTCTCTCCCACGGTGGCGACGCCGCCTTTGGAGGCCCGAGAATAAACGCTCCATGGCGTATCCTCTCCAAAGACCTCCCAGGAGTCGTTGTTTGTTGGAAATCCCATCGATCCCGTATCATCTATCAGGGAAAGAGTTTAATTTCCGGTTTGGGAATGATTCAGGAAAAGTAGCATACCGAGTGGGCAGATAACCTGAAGATACATTAGCTAACATAAAAAGCCAACATTACGCAAGAAGGTAGGGGGAAATGAAGGCAATTAATCTTTTTGGGATGCGCCATGAATAACAACTGCACTATATCTCACCCAGAAGAGCTCAAGTGACGGCTAGATCGAGATAGGTTCGTGGATCGCAGTTACGGCACCTCATAGCCTCTTACAGCTACCGGAAATTTATGATAATAGGATGTAATCGATGACAATCTCTGGTAATGGGCGATATTTTGGGAAAGGGCTATCATCTGTCTTCCTGGGAACGGGGAACCTGTTTCATCTGGATTACGGTAGAAGTCGTACTAATAAAGCTGATGACCGGGAGTGGCCTTGTGATGAATTCAGTTTGGGCACCCCTAATGCAAAAACGTCTACGAGGTAGCCAGCTTCTCCGGTTACATAGCCATATTTGGTATTCAAAACGAGTTTTTCCCCATGACTTTCCCATACTAGCAAAGAAACTTTCTGGGCTGAAGTACAACGATGGTTGCCGCTCAAGTGCGTTGAGCCTGACTACTAGCCTGCCTATCGAGTGCCTCCGCCTTATTTTCGGCTCCTCAGAATGAAAGAGAGAGGGAGAAGAGCAGGCAATTGAATGGATTTGTTTGTGAAGAGCGCAAAAGGGCCTCCCAGTTGTCGTCGACGTCGTCCCATCGGTGCTTCACACACACACAGCCGGCCGACGTCGATGTCGACGTACTTTGCGATTAAATTAGAGCCTAGTGAACGAATCAAAGCCCCTGGTCAGGGCTACGTATTCGGGAGTTCAGCCATGCGGGATTCCTTCGGGCCTCCACTTGAAAGTGATCTTTGTTTTAGTACGGGGGCATAGTCGGGACGGCAATTGAGACTGCCATGGATTTCTTTGTATTCCTCACTTAATTGCCCTTAGTTGCCCGTCTCGGGCATGCGTGACTTCAGGAAGACTTGAAGAATTTCTTGGAAAGAATTCAACCGAATGAATAAGAGCATAGGAGCGTTTATTGGTCATTCCCGCTGTCGCACTCGGGATTCAGCTCATTCACAAAGGAGCCAGCCCCTTGTGAGGGTGTTTGGGCTATTCAAATGCTTGATTCTCTGAGGTAATTGTGTTTACGATTCCAGAGGAGGGAGGGTGAGTAGGGTGCCACCCGATAGTGGACCTTATTGGACTGGGAGCACTTTCGATGGCGTTCGATCCTTCATGAGGACAGGGGTCATGGTTGAAGGGCCCATATCGCCCTTTCACTGCCCAAGGGATCAATCCCAGTAAAACTGACGGGAAAAGTGCATTACAATCTTACTCAAGACTACTCATAAGCATTCAACCGTACATTCCCCTCCTTAGCCTTTCGCATTTCCTTCAGCTTCACTTGTACTTGAGGCCAACCTCCCCAAGCGGAAAGTATACCTGAACTTTAGCGACATTATCGTCTATCTGGGATGGTTTTCAATTGAAAAGCTACATATTGCCTACTTAGAACTACTTTTTCGCTTGACAGACAGAGTAAACAACAACGCCTGGGCGGTGGAGATTAGTCGATGGGCGTGAGCCAATAATAGCCGTGTTTCCGGTAGTGGGTCCGCTGGATCCGCTTGTCGTTGGTAGTATATGCAATACGAGTAGTGGCAGAATATTTGATTAAATTGCTTGCCAGAGAATAAAGTTGAGCCCCTGTGTTTCATCAGGAATACGAGAACCTGGACGAGTGAAGGGAGCCTACCCAGCGCATTCACAATGGGGAGGGGAACCCAGTAGAGTAGTGGTCATCAGTTGCCCCCTGACCTCTCGTTGGTCAGTGGGTCTCTTCACATACCTCAAGAGACAACGTGCTACCTGGCCTACCCGTTGCGTAGCCTAGCCGCCGCCTACAGATTGCCTATCTTCCCTTCTCCTGAGACCCAGTACCGCTGGACCCTTCCA